CTACTACTACTACTACTACTACTACTAACTAGAGAGAGAAGAAAGGGCACACACATCTCCTTCCTGAGCTCCGCGCGGATTTCTCGGATCGGCGCCAAGCTCCCCATGGCGGCGCCAGCGGCGCCGCCCCCTGGCGCGCTTCGATCGGAGTCTATGCCTATGGCCCTTTTCTGTTCCTCCAGGTGGCCGTGCCGGGGGGCGCGGGCCTCACCGCCGGGCTCGGCGACGGCGCCCACCAGCAGCCGCCCCCTCGGGGCCGTGCTGGCATCCCACTGCCGCGCGGCCTCGTTGGCGCACCCACGCGCCTGGTGCCGGCAGGCCCCGCCGTCGGGTGCCGCTTCGGCGGGTGGCCAGTACGATCGAAGTGAGGGCGGAAATAGGGGAGCAAACATTGACATAGATTTCATAATTCGTCTGTCCGCGACGATTTCTCGGATCGGCGCTGGAGCCCTTTGGCGGCGCCTCCGGCGCCGCCCCTGGCGCGCTCGGCGCGCCAGGGAGGGGGTCCAGCTCCGATCCGAGAAATCTGCGCGGATCGCCGAGTTCGTATATTGTTGTCATTTGTTGTTCCCTCAGGAAAAATTAGACGTGCATGCAGGGCGCATTCCTGGGTCCACCTGACTTGGTTCGAACCTACTTAGTTCGGCTTTGCTCTTCGCATCTAGCTCGGTTCAAGTTCGACTCTAGCCCGACTCGAGTCGACAGATGTTCGACGCAGCATCGACTCCTGAGAGGAGCGAGTGGCTCCAGGAAGGTCCTCAGATCGAGCGTCTGAGAAAGAGTGAGGACGAAGGCTGGCAGCAGTTTCTGTTCACTGTCTACTTTGATCAGGGCTTGCTGTCGGTGTCGCTGCGGACGTTGTTCGCTGGAGATTAGCAGAAGACGGGTACATTATAAACACTTCTGCCCTCAGGAACGCCTGCCCCAGGGCGGCTGTGAAGTTTACACCCCTACGGTGGCACGTTGTAGTGTAAACTTTCCAGTCGCCCTGAGGCAGGCGTCCCCGACGGCGGACAAGTTTATGTTACATCGCTCCTCGTCCGCCAATGAGAGGGAATCGGGGACGCGCAGGACTCGAGTTTGTCGGGGCTCGGGTTCGCCGCTGCTTCATGACCGTCCTGGCGAGACTTCAGACCGTCCAGTTGTCCGTGATCTGTTTGCAGCTGGAGCTCGCGTTTAATCTCAGACCAGGTCCCGTCATTGTACGGTTCCGTCAGTTCCGAGAACTCGAGTTTCACGCCTCCCCGACAGAGAAGCCGCCTGTCCAACAGCGACCGCTGTCGGTTTCGGACCACACTTGCTGCTGAGCATCGCCGTGCCAGTCCCTTCCGTGATCACCCAAGGAAGACCTTCCTTCAGATGTGGCCAGGTGGACCAATGTCCCTCCCCAGACCCGCCCTATCTCGGCCTGTGCCAGCACGCTGGATGCGTGTTTGTTTCTTTGCATGTCTGCTCGGCAGTATCGGTCTTGCCAAGGTGGGCGAACTTCCTCGCCGAGCCGCCCCTGGACGAGCTATTCGCGATCGAGACCCCGCCGGCTGGCAGCGGCGACGGCGAGGGCGAAGCGCAGCAGCTCGTCGTGCGGCCGCGACTGGTGTCCAGCATGCAGCGGGCACGGATATCTGGGAGGAGGAACAGGTGAGCAACGTAGAAGAACGGGGCCGTCTTCACCGTCATTGGCGCCTAAGCTGCTCTCGCAAGGTCGTGCGTAAGCGCCCGCGCTGCGGTGTAGCGTTCCGCGCGGGCGGCCCGCGTAAGCCGCCGCGTAAGGTCGCTATGCCATCTCGCGTGAGACCCGTTTCTTTTCGCCGCTTAGGTGCCGGTACCGGTAGCTATCCTTCGTTTCCTCTCTTTTCGGCCTCCTGGGAGGCACTCGTCACCCCAGCTTGATTCGCCTCGATGTTCTGGCCAGAACGCACCCCGGGAAAGGTCCGTGCGCTAGCGGTATCGGTATTGCGAAGGCCTAGCCACCGGAGCCGACGACCCTGAATGGCGTCGGCGACGACGACGAGCGCTCTCGGGGGCCTCTTGGGGGTAGTTCGGGCGCCTCTTGAGAATGCCGAGCCGAAATCTTTCAAAAACTTAGGGAAATCGATGATTTTTGCCCCTTGGGACCCTCTTGGAAATCCTCTTGGAGGCCTCTTGGGGCGTTTTGGAAACCTTTCGAGCCGTCTGGAGGCTACTTTGGCGACTTGGACCGATACTTCGGCGATCCGGGGCCCTCGAGGACAGTCTTGGTGGCATCTTGGGGCAGTTTGGCCGCGTCCTGCGGCTTTTCTTGGCCGCCCAACTGTCCGAGGGGGAGTCGTATCTGCCCAGGAACACCCCCGGGACCCCTCCCCCGGGAACCCCCCCGGGACCCCTCTGGGGACCCCCCCCCGGGACTCCCCCCCCCAGGCGGGGAAGGGATCAAAGGGAAGGGGCTTCCTTTCGACTCAACTACAGCGTCGCTCAATTTCGCTGTGGCTGGCGCGCTCGAGGAGTAGAACCCGGTGAAAGTGGGGAGAACGGCGACGGGCCTAGGGAAATGGGGGGGAGCGAGCGGCGAAGGCGACGACCACGACGACAACGACCACGACGACGTCGACGACGACGACGACGAGTCAAACGGAACAGCCTCTTCCACACGCCGACAGGGTCGTCGGATTTTTGCTCTCCCAGGATACTCGCGCGCGCGCGCATCATGCTCGACCGCCGCTTGCACGAGGAGTTCTCCGTGTGGTGGCGCGCTGGCAGGATCCCGCTGCCGGAATACACCCAACGGCGGATCAATTGGTGGGACCACAAGCCCACGCTGCCGATAGACCTACAGATCATGTCGCGCCACACGCAGATCCATAAGATCTTTGACGAGAGGTTCCTCTATAAGGTCAGGGGAAACGTTAACGGGGGGATGTGCAAAGGAGGGAGGCATCCTCTCCCAATCGCATATTCATCGCCGATACGGGCACGATCGCCCACCCCGCCCAGGAGCGTGCGGTTTCGCTGTCGGGGGTCTGTTGTCGATCTATCGGCGATGTATAGCTGATTCTCGGGCTTACGCCGCACCGCCGACGCCTTGGGGGTGTAGTCGATGCCTGCCAGGGGGGGCTCGCGTGGGCCTTTTGGGGGATCTGGTGGGCCACCTGGGTCTGGGTTGCGGGCTTGACGCCGTTCGGATGGCTGATGGGGTCGCGTGTGAGGCGCGTCAGGAGCGTCATAAAGGTAATTTCTGAACCTGTTGAGGTCCTCCTGGCGGCGTGTGGGGGCTTTTTTTGGGCCCTTTTGGCGCTCGGGGGCCTCCTGGCAGCTTTTTGGGGACTCTTGGGGGCATCTTGGGGACGGGAGCTCGAACTGTCCGTTCGGGCTCCCCCTCTAGGCCTCCCCTGGGGCCGTCCTCGGGGCCTCCTCGGCCGTCTTGGAGGCTTCTGGGGCCGTCTTGGGGCCCTCGTGTACCTTCTTGGAGCCCTCTTCGGGGGCCTCTTGGCCCGTCTTGGGTCGATCTTGAAGGCCGCTTCGACTTGGGTGGGCCTCGTGAGAGCACAGGAGGCGAACGTGCCAAAAATGTAGATTTCATAACAGAGTGGGACGATTTTTGCTCCTTGAAGGCCTCTTGGGACGCCCCGTGGCGACTTCTTGGAACGTTTTGGGGGCCTCTGGGGCCGTCTGGGGCCAATCTTGGGCGTCTTGGCGCGATCTTTCGGCGACTCGTGCCCCTCTCGGACATTCGGGGACCCTCTTCGGGCCCTCTTGGCCCGTTTTGGAGCCCCCTGTCCCCCATCCAAATCGACCGGACCGGGGCCCCAGGGGAGGGGTTTGGGGAGGGGGAAGCATCCCACGCGCCACGCGCCGATGAACCCCAAGGGGTCGGCGGATTCCAGCTGGATGTTTCCCCCCCTCAGCTGGCCTCCCGTCTAACGTTGCCTCTCGTGAGGTGCAGATCCTGAAGGCGCGCAACGAGAAGCGGCGGGAGCGGCGCGCCGAGTGGGCGGAGGAGCGCCAGAAGGTCCTGGCGGACCGGACGGCGGCCAGGCTGGGAGGACCCCCAACCACCCCGAGATCCTGGCGTGGCCATCTTCCCACAACGGGTGTCGGTCCACGGATCGATCCGTCTCGAAACCTGCCGCGGAGAGGTTCGGTCCAGGGCTCCGGCCGAGTTCCTTCACGATGCTTCCAATTTTTCCCAACCATCCTGTACTGTTGGGTCCTCGTTTTGAGGAGACGTCGCTCCGCGTTTCACCTCCTCCTCCCCCTCCTCCCCCTCCTCCCCCTCCTCCCCCTCCTCCCCCCCCCTCCCTGCGTTTCACCCACCCAGTACAGCGTTTCGTGGCCCCATAGGGAGCTCCACCGAAGGCCCCAGTGGCAGCGTTCGCATGGCGGCCTCGGGCCATTTCAGCACACTCCTCACGAGGATCGTGGCCCCATAGGGAGCTCCACCGAAGGCTCCAGTGGCAGCGTTCGCATGGCGGCCTCGGGCCATTTGGGCACACCCCTCACGAGGATCGTGGCCCCATCATAGGGAGCTCCACCGAAGGCGCCAGTGGCAGGGTTCGCATGGCGGCCTCGGGCCATTTCGGCGCAACCCTCACAAGGATCGTGGCCCCATAAGGGAGCTCCACCGAAGGCGCCAGTGGCAGCGTTCGCAAGGCGGCCTCGGGCCATTTCGGCACACCTCTCACGAGGATCGTGGCCCCATAGGGAGCTCCACAGAAGGCTCCAGTGGCAGCGTTCGCATGGCGGCCTCGGGCCATTTGGGCACACCCCTCACGAGGATCGTGGCCCCATAGGGGAGCTCCACCGAAGGCCCCAGTGGCAGTTCGCATGGCGGCCTCGGGCCATTTCGGCACACCTCTCACGAGGATCGTGGCCCCATAAGGGAGCTCCACCGAAGGCCCCCAATGGCAGGGTTCGCATGGCGGCCTCGGGCCATTCGGCACACCCCTCACGAGGATCGTGGCCCCATAGGGAGCTCCACCGAAGGCTCCAGTGGCAGGGTTCGCATGGCGGCCTCGGGCCATTTCGGCACACCCCTCACGAGGATCGTGGCCCATAGGGAGCTCCACCGAAGGCCCCCAGTGGCAGGGTTCGCATGGCGGCCTCGGGCCATTTCGGCACACCCCTCACGAGGATCGTGGCCCCATAGGGAGCTCCACCGAAGGCGCCAGTGGCAGGGTTCGCATGGCGGCCTCGGGCCATTTCGGCACACCCCTCACGAGGATCGTGGCCCCATAGGGAGCTCCACCGAAGGCGCCAGTGGCAGGGTTCGCATGGCGGCCTCGGGCCAGTTCGGCACACCCCTCACGAGGATCGTGGCCCCATAGGGAGCTCCACCGAAGGCCCCAGTGGCAGGGTTCGCATGGCGGCCTCGGGCCATTTCGGCACACCCCTCACGAGGATCGTGGCCCCATAGGGAGCTCCACCGAAGGCGCCAGTGGCAGGGTTCGCATGGCGGCCCCGGGCCATTTCGGCACATCCTCACGAGGATTGTGGCACCATAGTTGTGCTGCTTCAGCAACCGCGCCTGGGCGTCGTACTCCGCCTTGTCGACGTGCAGCGCCACATCCTCCCTCATGGCTCTCAAGGCCCTCTCCTGCTTCTGCTCCTCGGTGAGAGGGACGCCGTCCTTGTCGTCGTCGGCGCCCGCGAAGACGGCCACGAACGTGTCCCTGAGCATGTCGGGCTCCGTGGCCACATAGGGAGCGCGGGCGAAGATGGTATTCACATTTGCGGTATTTGCAACTGCGTATGGTTGGGTCCTTCGCCAGGCTAGTTTGGTGGCATCGCTTGTCCGGGCCGACCCTGGCCAGGCCCGGCCAGGGCCTGGGAGCGGTGTGCACGTCCTTCTGGGCTCCGCCAGGAAGGCGCGCGCGCCGGTCCTGAGCTCAGGGCTGGCCTCGGCTCTGAGTGGAGCACGCCCTGACATCCGCCGATTGGCGGCGGGCGAGGGGGGGAAAGTGAGAAGGAAACGGCCTTCTCAGAAGGCGGCGGGGCGTCTCAGAAACCCTGGGACCTTCTGAGAGGTTTTGAGTATCTCCGGGGAAGGCTCAGGAAACGTTTCAGAAGGCTAAGGGACTTCGGAGCCTTCTGAGAAGGAGTTCGGAGCCTTCTGAGAAGGCCCGCCCCTTCTCGTTTCCCCCAGGCTCGCCGCCGAGCCGAGGTAATGCTTTCAGTCCGCGGTCCCCGAGGCCCCTTCCGCTTCCCCGGGGGCAGATTTTTGTCCATATCAATTTCTGATGGTCCCAGGGCCCGCAGATGGCCCCCGACGGCTGAAACTGAGGGGCGTAATGCCTTGATTGGAACATCATGTCGTCGGAGCTGTGGGTAAGGTCGGCGTCACCCAGGTATTATTATCATTTGTCATTGCGATTACCGCCAACATTACGACGACTACTACTACTACTACTACTACTACTACTACTACTACTACTACTACGACTACGACGACTACGACGACAACGCCGACGCCTACGACGACGACGACGACGACGACGACGACGACGACGACGACGACGACGACGACGACGACGACGACGACGACGACGACGACGACGACTACTACCACTACTACTACTACTACTACTACTACTACTACTACTACCACTACTACTACTACTACTACTACTACTACTACTATTGATACTACTATTGATACTACTATTGATACTACTACTACTACTACTACTTCGACTTCTTGTTCTACTACTACTACTACTACTACTACCACTACTACTACTACTACTACTACGACTATTACAACAACTACTACTACTACGACTACTTCTACTACTACGACGACGACTACTCATAGTACTACTACTCCTACTCCTCCCACTACCTCTACTACTACTACTACTACTATTACTACTACTACTACCACTACCACTACTACTACTACTACTACTACTACTCCTACTCCTACTACTACTACTACTTTTACTAGTGCTACTACTACCACCACCACTACTACTACTACTACCACTACTACTACTCCTCCTACTGCTCCTACTACTGCGACTACTCCTACTACTCCTATTTTTCCTACTCCTACTCCTACTACTACTACTACTACTACTACTACTCCTACTGCTACTACTACTACTACTACTGCTACTACTAATACTACTACTACTACTACACGTACTACTACTACTATTTCTACTACTACTACTACTACTACGACTACGACTACGACTACGACTACGACTACGACTACGACGATTACGACTACTACTACTACTACTACTACTACTACGACTACTATTACTACTCGTACTAGTGGTACTAGTACTAGTACTAGTACTACTACTAGTACTACTACTACTGCTACTACTACGACTACCATTTTTACCACTACTAGTATTATTATTACTAGTCTCCCTACTACTACTATTATTATTGTATTACTACTACTACGACTACTACTACGGATACTATTGCGACTACGAGAACGACAACGACTACGACTACGACTGCGACGACTACTATAATCACTACTAGTGCGACGACGACTACTACTAGTACTGCAACGACTGCTACTACTACTACTACTACTACTACGACTACTACTACTACCGCTACGATTTCTATTACGGTTCTCAACCATTATCCGTGTTTTATTACTTCTACTACTACAGTTGGCCCTGATTGACCTGATTGGTAGGTCGACCTGGCCAACTCAAGCGTACCCTTGTGTCCAGTGCCTCGTGACACGTGCATTCTTACGCTCCTATGGCGGTGTGGTTTTCAGAAGGGTATTGTGTCCTCTCGCGTGTCCTGTCCAATCAAGTCCGATTGTATTACTTCCACTTCTACTACTACGACTACGACTACCGCTACCGCTACTGCTACTACTACTACTACTACTACTATTACCAGTACTACTAATACTACTACTACTACTTCTTCTACTACTACTACTATTTCTACTACTACTACTACTACGACTACTACGGCTACTACTACGACTACTCTTGCGAGTACGATTACTACTGTTACTACTACTACTACTGCTACCACTCCCACTACCACTACTACTACTACTACTACTACTACTACTACTACTACTACTATTACTGCTACTACTATCATTACTACTACTACTGCTACTACTACTACTGCTACTACTACTACTACTACTACTACTACTACTACTACCACTACTACTACTACTACTCGTACTACTACTACTACTACTACTGCTACTACCACTACAATTTTTACTATTATTTCTTATTTCTACTATTATTACAGTTGGCCCTGATTGCCTTGATTAGTAGGTCGGCCCTTCCGACTCAAACGTAGCCTTGTTTCTTGTGTCTCGCGACACGTGCCTTCTTACGTTCCTATGGCGATGTGGCCTTCGGAAGGGTCTTGTGTCCTCTCGTGTGTCCTCTCCAATCAAGTCCGATTGTATTACTTCCACTTCATACTACCACGACTACCACTGCCACTGCTACTACTACTACTACTACTACTACTACTACTACTACTACGACTACTACTACTATTATTACCACTACTACTACTACCACCACTACTACTACGACGACTACTACTACTACTACTACTACCACGACTACTACTACTATTGCTACTACTACTACTTCTACTTCTTCTTCTTCTACTACTACTACTACTACTACGACTAACAGTTCTACTACTACAACAACTACTACTACCACTACTACTACTGCTACTACTACTACTAGTACTACTACTACTACTCCTCCTCCTACTACTACTACTACTACTACTACTACTACTACTACTACTACTACTACTACTACCTACTACTACTACTACTACTACTACTTCTACTACTACTACTACTACTACTACTACTACTACTACTAGGGTTGTCTGGGGTTCTTGTTCTGCTTAAAGAGGGTGTAGAGGGCGTAAGGGTTCGGGTTCGGGTTCGGGAGAACGCACCCCAAAAACAAAAACCTCAGAGCGCAGAGAAACCACGCCGAGAATCTCCGCTCCTCCTACACGATCCCATGCTCTCCGAAGCATGTCGGCTGCAAGAATTCAGGAGCGCATTCGGACTCTGGCTCTTCGCCCTGGGCCAAAAGCCCCTGCGGAACCAGAAGGAATCTGGGAGAATCCAGACCCCCCAGGCACCTCAGGAGTCTCGAAGATTCCAAAGGGATTCGCAGAATGCCATGCAAAACAATTCGTCCGGAATCCTTAGGAAACCATAGAATTCCATGTGCACCAAGGACCTCCCAAAGCAGAACATGGACCCCGGATTCCCCTACTACTACTACTACCACTACTACTACTACTACTGCTACTACTACTACTACTACTACTACCACTAGTGTTACTGCTACTACTACTACTACTACTACTACTACGACTACTACTACTACTACTACTACTACTACTACTACTACTACTACTACTACTACTACTACTACTACTACTACTACTACTACTACTACTACTACTACTACTACTACTACTACTACTACTACTACTACTACTACTACTACTACTTCTACTACTACTACTACTACCACTACTACTACGACTAGTAGTACTGCTATGTGTGCGTCGCCCCCGACGCGCGTGTGCCAAGAAACTTTTAGTATCTGCTCGGCGGCGGACGCTTTCTGGGTATACCGCTGGGGTAACGACATACTATCTCATGGTTGTGCTATGTGATCTGGTCGGACGCACGCCTCCAAGGTTTGCGAGTATGCGCTTCCGCGCCCCGTAAGTCTGTGCGGCCGGCGCCCCCCGACAGGCGGCAGAGGCGCGAGGAGGCCCTGAAGGCGGTCGAGGGCATGGGCTGCAGGTCTCTGCCGGGCCTCTCCGCGGGCCTCGCGTCCACGCCCTGGTCGCCGTCGCCGCGGGCGCCGCGGTCGCCGCGGGACTACCCTAAGAGGCCAGGGGTCGACCTAAACGCTGTGTTCGGGGCGGCGAGATCTGTACCTATCCCACTGCCCCAGACCTGGCCCATCCTGGGCCCAAGATCGTATACACCGCTCCTGGTCCCCTGTTGGGCCAGGCCTGGGGCAGTGGGATATGTAAAGATTTCGTCGCCCTAGTGTTGGCAGTCTCGTGGATCGTTTTTTCGTTTTCTCTATGTTTTCGTTCGGTTTTCGTGCTCGGGCCCACCACTGGCCAACCACGACCTCGGATTTGCTCCAAAGCACTGCTTTGGGCAATAGCCGAGGCCGGCCCTGAGCTCAGGACCGGCGCGCGCGCCTTCCTGGCCGAGCCCGGAAGCACGTGCACGCCGCTCCCGGGCCTGGGCCGGGCCTGGCCAGGGTCGGCCCGGACAGGCGATGCGAAGGAATTCGGCCGGAGCCCTGGACCGAACCTCTCCGCGGCAGGTTTCGAGACTGATCGATTTGTGGACTGACACCGTGCAGGGCCACCCGTTGTGGGAAGATGGCCACGCCAGGATGTCGGGGTGGTTGGGGGCCTCCCAGCCGGGCCGAGTTTGATGATTTTCGATCAGTCTGAAGATGCAGGGCTGCTGTGGTCGACCCCTCCCAGAGGCCGCCCCCCTCGCCGAACCTGGCGAGGCCGCCGCCTCTGCCGTAGGGCCGTTCGGGCCGGCCGGGCCTCTGCCATCCTGGGCTGGCGGCGCGCAAGAGGGGGGCAGGGGCTTGCTCTGGACCTCCAAGGCCCTGGTGTCGCTCGGACGGGTGCGTCTCTCGGCGAGGACCATCGACGTGCATTATGGGTCCTATTGGGAAAAGTACACGCGCGAAACCGACGAATGCACGGGGAATGGACGTCCGAGCAATGGCGAGCTTCCGTGGCGAAGAAATCTCGGCCACGCAGAGGGGGGCGGGTGGCAGGGGGAGGGCTTTTGAGAAGCTCAGCTGCTTCTCGGAAGGCGCGGGCCTTACCTATAGATGTAGGACCGGCGCCTTCTAAGAAGCAGCCTGGTTCTAAGAAACCCTCCCCGTTCCCTCCAGCCCCTTGTGCGCGCCGCCTCTTTCTCCCCTTCCCCCTCCTCCCCCTCCTCCTCCTCCTCCTCTTCCTCCTAGCTTCCTCCTCCCCCTCCCCTGACATCTTCTCATTGCGAAAAGAAACACGACGGAGGGTTTTTGCTCATGCTCGGCCTCCGGGGGCCCTCGCAAGGCTCCGTGACCGTCAGACATCGACTAGGGATAAGCGGTCCTGGGGAATGGGTCGACAATTCCAGGTGCCCGCGATGTGACAGAATCGCGACGTCGAGTGTTTGGGAACCTCCCTTGGGATTCTGGCGTGTTAAGGCGCCAGCAGGCGCTTGTGCGCCTTTTGGGGAATTCCACGCGCCGATCCGAGAATTCTGCGCGACGCCCGACGTCGTGCGAAATTGTCGACCGTCGCGCAAAACAAAGGATTTGTAGTCCTCTGGCGCTCGGCATGGAATGGAATACGAGGGATGATGAAGATTGCGGCAGCAGCAGCGACGAGCGGGGGAAATGCGGGGAGATGAGGAGGAGCAGAAACAGCGAGGACGGGGAGCATGCAGCGCATAAGCATGGAAGTGAGGGTTTGAAGTGTGGTGCGTGAACGTCGGCACCACGAGCAGAACGCAAATCATGGAAAGTGCGCCAGTGGATCTCCCTGAATACACTAAAACTAAAGGGGGGGGGTCCAGAACCCCCCCCCCTCCTTCCCTTCAAGGGGGGGGGGGTCCGGAACCCCCCTCCCCCCCTTCCCCTCTTAAAGGGGGGGGGATCCCGAACCCCCCCCCTCCGTTGAAGGGGGGGGTCCGGACCCCCCCCCCTCCCCACCTTGGCGCTGGAAAGGGGGGGGGGGGTTCGGACCCCCCCCCCTCCCCCCTTCTGCGCCGGAAAGGGAGCCGGGGAGGGGGGGCCTCTCTCGCTTGTCCTTTCTGCGCCGGAGACGGTGTGTAGGGAGTACGGAGTTGGGAGTAGGGAGTGGTGAGTAGTGAGTAGTGAGTTAGTGCGTAGTGAGTAGTGAGTATTGGGTAGTGGGTAGTGGATAGTGTGTGGCGAGCAGGGAGTAGGGGGTAGGGAGTGGGGAGTAGTGAGTAGTGAATAGTGAGTAGTGTGTATTGATAAGTGAATAGTTAGTGGCGAGTAGTCAGTAGTGACTAGCGAGTAGCCGAGTAGCGAGTAGTGAGTACTGAGTAGGGAATAGGGAGTAATGAGTAGTGGGTAGTGAGTAGTGGGTAGTGAGTGGTGGGTGGCGGGTAGTGGTTTAGTGAGTAGTGGGTAGTGCGTAGTGCGTAGTGAGTAGTGAGTAGTGAGTAGTGAATAGTGAGTAGTGGGTAGTGAGTAGTGAGTAGTTAGTAGTGAGTAGCGAGTAGTGAGTAGTGAGTAGCGAGTAGTGAGTAGTGAGTTATGAGTAGTGAGTAGTGAGTACTGAGTAGTACCCTGTGCGTAGTGAGTAGTGAGTAGTGGGTAGTGATGAATATAGAGTAGTGGGTAGTGGCAGTGGGTAGTGAGTAATGGGTAGCGAGTAGGGAGTAGCGAGTTGTGAGTAGTGAGGAGCGAGTAGGGCGTAGTGAGTAGTGAGGAGAGAGTAGAGAGTAGTCAGTAGTGAGTAGTGGGTAATGATTAGTGAGTGTAACGAGTAGGGAGTAGCGAGTATTGAGTAGTGAGTAGTGAGTAGTGAGTGGGGAGTAGGGAGTAGTGAGCAGTGAGTAGTAAGAAGGGGGTAGCGAATAGTGGGTAGTGAGTAGCGAATTAGTATGTAGTGAGTGTTGGGTAGTGAGTAGTGACTAGTGACCAGTGACTAGTGAGTTGTGCCTAGTGACAAGAGACGATGTAGTGACTAGTGAGTAGGGAGTAGTGAGTAGCGAGTAGCGAGTAGTGAGTAGCGGGGAGTGCGTAGTGAGTAGTGAGTAGCGAGTATGGGAGTAGCGAGTAGTGAAAACTGAGTACTGTGTAGGCAGTATTGTGAAAGGAGTAGGGAGTAGCGAGTAGTGAGTAGGGCGTAGTGAGTAGTGATTTGTGGGCAATGAGTAGTGAGTAGTGAGTTGTGAGTAGTGGATAGTGGGTAGTGGGTAGTGATGAGTGATTAGTGAGTCGTGAGTAGGGAGTAGTGCTTAGTGAGTCGTGAATACTGAGTAGTGGGTAGTGAGGAGTGGGTAGTGAGTAGTGAATAGGGAGGAGGGAGTAGTGAGTAGGGAGTAGTGAGTAGCGAGTAGTGGGTGGTGGGTAGTGAGTAGTGGATAGTGAGTAGTGAGTCGTGAGTAGTGAATAGGGGGTAGTGAGACGTGAGTAGCGAATAGCGAGTAGTCAGCAGTGGGTAGTGAGTAATGAGTAGTGAGTACTCTTTGGGCCTGGGGTTAGTGGTTGGGGTTAGGATTAGGGGTTTGGGTTAGGGTGAGGACTCGGGGTAGGGGTGGCGGGGGTCGGGTTCTGGAGTCCGGGGGCGGCGTGGCGGAAGGGGGAGGGGGGGTGCTGCCAAAGGGGGGGAGGGTGGGGGGTCGGACCCCCCCCCCCTTTTGAATTCTCCGACGACGGATCGGGGAAAGGGGGGGGGGGGGGGAGTCCCCGACGACGGATCGGGGAAGGGGGGGAGGGGGGGTGGGTCCCCGACGACGGATGGGGGAAGTGGGGGGGGGAGGGGGTTCCCCCCCCCTGGGGAGATCCAGCGGCGCACCCTCCATATCATGTCCTCGAAACAGACGAGCAGCACGCGATTGATCACAACAGGAAATAACCAAAACATGGTCAACACATAACCAACACATAACCAACAAATAACCAACACAACCAAGAAACAACCAGCATATAACCACAACGGCCAACATATAAGAAAACATGACCGCGCAAAGAGCGGCAGGCGCCGCGTAAAATTCCATTCCCGACGATTTACAAGTGGAAGGATGTCCCGAGCCAAAGCGGCGACGCTATGGACGCGCGACATCGCGAAAGTGCCACGCGAGATTCACGCCGCGCGAACGCAACCGCGAGTATTTGGTGCGCAGTTGCGCGATTTCCCGGACCAGGACAAGCCAGCCGACGCATCAGATGCTTTGGGAATGCGGGGCCGGGAAAGTGGCCAGATGCCATTTGCGACCTTCACGAAAGAATTGCGAATGTAGCCAACTCGTTGTGAGCGCGCAGCCTCATCCTCGTTTCCCTGGCGCGACAGGCCTTCCAGGCCTTGCCCGAAGTCCATCCCATCGTCATTTTCTCTGCAGCATACCTTCGGCCGTTGCCAGTCAGGCTCAACCCATCGGCCGCTGCGCGTTCTTGGGGCGCGCTCTTTGCCGCGCTGGACGTCCACAGTCGGGCGCGGCGTTTGATGGGAGAGAAACTGGTGCCATGCGCGACGGGGGCTGTCTCAAACGCGTGCTCTGGGCGCGTTCGGCCATGTCGGCGTGGGGGCGTTTTTGCGGCGCCCGCTGCATTTTCGCTCGGTTCCGGAAGTATTCGCGCGGGCGTCAGATTTTAAGCGCCTTGCTTGTTGGCCGCGAGAAATTTCCGAATGGTGCAAAAGCGTTCTTGGTTCTCTTTCCAGCGCCTTCACATCTTGGCGCCGCATTTGTGTCACAACAGGCGATGTTGCCTCGTCTAGGGCTCAGCACCCTCAGGAATCGATCCCGCTCGAAAAATGCTGCAGAGAAATGGGGTCCCTGGCTTCGGCCGAATTTCTTACGGGTTGCATTTTTTGCGCTGCGCCGCATTTCGGTGGAGGGGACGTGGATCTCGGCACGATAACTGACACGGAAAGAGTCGGGACGAAAATTGGCAGCAGTTCCCGCTTATTGAACGGGGTTCGCTGCCGGTTTTGGACAATTGCTGTTGGGCATCGCCCATATTTATTTATTCGTGCCCATTTTGGGCGTGCCAGCGAACGGGGCTCCTGGAAACCGTCCTGCCTTTAGGCCTCAAGTGTTCGATCATGGACCCCTTGTTGAACGCAGCCCTCCACGTTTCGCGCCGAAGACCGCCGGGCGCCGCCGACGACCACCCATCTCCTCGCAGGCCTCTGTTTCAAGGGCGCGGAGACCTTCCAAATGAGCTCCCTACCGTCGGCCTGGAACGGACCTGGCTGGCAACATGATGATGGTGATAATGATGGTGGTGATGGTGGTGATGATGCGGATGATAATGAGGATGAGGATGAGGATGACGATGACGATGGCGATGATGATGCTGATGATGACAAAAATGATGATGCTGATGCTGATGATGCTGCTGATGATGGTGGCGGTGGTTGCGGCTGTTGATGATGTTGATGATGATAATGCTAAGGATGATGATGATGATGATGATGATGATGATGATGGTGATGATGATGATGATTGTTGTGGTGGTAGCGGTGGTGATGATGGTGGTGGTGATGACGATGATGCTTCTCATGATGATGCTGATGCTGATGATGGTGATGACTCTGATGCTTATGACGTTGATGATAATGCTGCTGATGATCATGAGGCTGCTGATGAACATGGTGATGATGATGATGATGATGATGATGATGACGATGACGATGTTGATGATGATGCTGAGTATGACCATGATGGCAGTGATGAGGGATGTGATGCCGATGATGCTGATGTTCTTGACGATGATGACGACGACGATGACGACGGCGACGTCAACGACGACGACGACGGCACGGCAGTCATGATGCTGATGATGCCGATGATGCTGATGCTGATGATGTTGCTGATGAAGTAGATGAATAACAGGATGACGATGGTGATGCATCTGATGATGATGCTGATGCTGATGCTGATTATGATGCTGGTGATGATGATGCTGAAATGCTGTTGCTAATAGTGATGATGATGCTGATGATGATGACACTGATGACGATGATCACCACGATGAGGAATAGGCTGCTGCTGCGGCTGTTGCTGCTGATGATGCTGATGATGATGCTGATGATGCTGCTGCTGCTGCTGATGATGACGATGCTGACGACGATGGTGATGACGATGCTGATGATGATGCTGATGATGGTGGCGATGATGATGCTGATGATGTTACTGACGATGATGGTGACGATGGTGCTGATGCTTATGATGATGCAAATGATGATGCCGATGCTGCTGATGATGACGTTTATGCTGATGTGGATAATGATGATGATGATGCTGATAATGCTGATGATGCTGATGCTGATGTTGATGGTGTTGATGATGCTGGCGCTGATGATGATGATGCTGTTTATGATGATGCTGATGCTGCTGATGATGATCATGCTGATACTGCTGATGATGGTGATGATCGTGATGATGACGATGTTGATGATGATGAGGATGATGTTGATGCTGATGCTGATGATGATGCTGCTGCAGTTGATGATGATGATGATGCTGATGATGGTGGTGATGATGCTACTGCTGATGATGATGATGCTGCTGATGATGATACTGATGAGTATGATGATGATGCTGATGATGATGATAATGCTGATGATGATGATGATGATGCTGATGATGACGTTGATGATGATGATGATGCTGATGATGATGATGATGATGATGATGATGATGATGATGATGCAAATGATGATGCCGAGGCTGCTGCTGACGATGATGATGATGGTGGTGATGATGATGATGATGCTGATGCTGATGATGATGATGATGATGCTGATGATGGTGCTGATGATGATGATGGTGATGATGATCATGACTCTGGTGATGATGATGGTGATGATGATGCTGATGATGATGATGATGCTGATGATGATGATGATGATGGTGATGATAGTGATGATGATGATGATGATGATGATGATGATGATGAGGATGAGGATGAGGATGATGATGATGATGATGATGATGATGATGATGATGATGATGATGATGATGATGATGATGATGATGATGATGATGATGATGATGATGATGATGATGATGATGATGATGATGATGATGATGATGATGCTGCTGCTGCTGCTGTTGCTGCTGATGATGATGATGATGATGATGATGATGATGATGATGATGACGATGATGATGGGGAGGCGGAGCAGGAGGAGGATGAGGAGGAGGAGGAAGAGGAGGAAGAGGAGGTGGAGGACGAAGAGGTGGAGGACGTGGAGGAGGAATGGGAGGAGGAGGAGGAGGAGGAGGAGGAGGAGGAGGTGGATCAGGGGCAATGCTAGGTGGGTGGGGATGGGTCCAGGGGGAATTGCGTCCACCCCCAATCGTCCATAGATCGCCGAAAGGATTCCGATAGCCCGCCCCTCGCAGGAGAGTGCGGACTTGCTATCCGAGGCTTATCGCCGATCTACCAGCGATACATCGCCGATTTCAGGTCGATGTTTACCCGCTCCTAATGATCTCCCTCACAGGAGGATGGGGAGGAGAAGAAGGAGGAGCAAGAGCAACGCGAGCACGTGAAGCGACGCGCCGAGTCTGGAAGCAGGGCGTGCAGAGGCAGGGGAGAGGTGAGAACGCGCAATCGCTCACATGGGCGGAGGGGGAGGAGAAGGAGAAGGGGGTGGAGGAGGAGGAGGAGGACGAGGAGGAGGAGGAGGAGGGCGAGGAGGAGGACGTAGAGGAGGAGGAGGAGGAGGAGGAGGAGGAGGAGGAGGATGAGGAGGAGGAGGAGGAGGAGTGAGGATGGAGATGAAGGAGGAAGAGCCCTAGCTCCACGTGCGCGTCGCCGACGTGGGCTCTCCCCCTCCTCGCAGCCGCTTCCCTTCTCCTGCGTGCGGTGCTCTACCGCAGCCGGTCAGGGCGCGGGCACGCGTCTGGCTTCTGGGACCACGTCGCGGAGAGCACCAGCCGTCGCGGTCTGAAAGTGTTGCGGCCTGCATCTCGACAAAGAAAACTTTCGGAAGAAGAAGCACCGGCACGAGCACCACAGTTCGGAGCTCCGCGTTGGTATCTTATTTTGTGGTTCTGCGCTGGACCCCCTGGCGGCGCCTCTGGCGCTGCCCCTGGCGCGCTCCGCGCTCCGGCGAGGATGGCCCAGCGCATACTGTAGATTCGTGTCGTGTCGACCAGCGGTGACCCCGCCAGCGGCGTTCAACTTCGAACGCCGCGGGCGACCTAGAATCGTTCGATGTGGAGCGATTTGGTTGTTTCGGAAACGGCCGATCCTTCAAGGTTGAACGACCCCCACGGTGTCGGAAACCAGCGCCGAAGTCGGCACGAAACGAGCCTGACGTGCCCAAGAACTCCGCACGGGCCTCCCACAGTTTCTGCTTGTGCTGTTCACTTCGAGAGCAGCTGCAGCAGCGTGCGGCAGGTTCGCGCGGCGTGTCGGCGTGGCAGCGCCCCCCGCCGCGGGCGTGCAGTCAGAGGAGCAAGATGCCATGTGATAACGGTGCGCTCCAGGATTTCCAAGGCACCCAGGATTTCCAGTAGTTCCCCAGTGCTCGACGCGGGCTCCAGACACGAGGGCCGCTAGAAACTTTGAAATTCTTGTAGCGTATCCTGAGCCAATCGTGTCTTGCTTGTCCAGTTCAAGGTTGGACGTCACCCGTGGCCCAGAATCGGTTGATACGGAACGATCTAGCGATCGGGAAGATTCAAGGCTGCATGATCCACGCGGTGTCTCAAGCCAACGCTTGGGTCGTCACGACACGAACCTGCCGTGAGCACTCGAAGGTCCGCGTGGATTTCTGGGATCTGCGCTGGACCCTGGCGTCGCCTCCAGCACCGCTCCCCGCGCCAGGGGGGGGGGGGTCTGGCGCCGATGTAGAAGAAACGGGCGGACCTTCAAACTTTTACGTTTCTGTAGTTTTTCTGATCTTTCTTCCTCCTCCCTCCCTCCCTCTTCCCTCTTCCTCTGGTTTCTCCTCCCCTCGCTCCTCCCTCCTTCCTTCTTCGTCCCTCCCTTTCCGCCTCCTGATCCCCCTGCTGCTGCTGTTCCTACTCCACCTCTCCCTCCTCTTCTGTCCTCCTCCTTCCCACGCTCCTCCTCCCTCGTCCCTCCATCCTCCAACCTCCTCGTCGCCCTCCTCCTCCTCCTCCTCCTCCTCCTCCTCCTCCTCCTCCTCCTCCCCTTCTGCATCATTATCCTCTTCATCCCTTCCCCTCCCTCCTCCCCCGACGAGGGCGACGACTCCCACGACCATGACGACGACGTCGACGTCGGTCGGCGGCCGCGCTTTCGACGGCGGCGGCGCGCAATAGCGCTGAAACGGCGGCGTCGGCGGCGGTGCGCGAGGACCAGACGCTGGAGGAGCACCGGCGTAAGGCCACCTTCTTGCTGGAGGAGCGGCGGCACTGTCGTCGCCGTCGCCGTTTCGCCGCCGCCGTTTCCCCGTTGCCATCCTCGTTGCCGTCGTCACCACCGCGCCGCCGCCGCCAACGAGGCCAACGTGGTCGTCTTCTTTGCCGCCGTTGCCGCCGCCGCTGGCAGCGTCGTCGTCGTCGTCGTCGCCGCCCGTCGTCGTCGGTCTCTGGAGGCCGCGCCGCAGGAAGTACTGAGAGCGGCCAGAAATCGGTCCTCAATTGTTTTCGTCGCCGTCGCCGTTTCGCCGCCGTCGCTGTCGCCCTCGCTGCCGTCGCCGTCGTCGTCGTAGTCGTCGTCGTCGCCGTCGTCGCCGTTGCTGTCGTGGCCCGCGCCGCCGTCGTCGTCGCCGCCGCCGCCGCCGTCTCCGGAGTTCTCCAGTGATCGACCCCTTGAGGTCTCAGGGGCTTGTTCTCGAGGGCTACACGAGGCAGGTGCCAGAAACAAACAAGAACCTTTAGGGGCAACGGTAGGGGGCGATGCGCATAGGGGGGGATGCCCCTCAACCCTTGATCCCCGATTTCGGGCGGCGTCGTCTGACCACCTGTCCCATCCCGTGCCCGTGATCGATGCATGCGCCTCTCGGCTCGGCCCGGCGGGAGCAGACACCGGCCCTGGGCCCGGGCTCAACCAGCGAGGATCGGGGGAACTTCGAGTTTGCTGGACCTCGGGTCTGCCGCTGCCTCTTGGCGGTCCAGGCATGCGTTCTCACCGTCCAGTTCTCGTGGGATGTCCGCAGCGGGATGGCTCGCCAAGTTGCAGATCAGGTCCCGCCACTCGTCTGACCGCTCTTCCCAGGCAGGTTCGAGTCCCCCACGTTCGAGTCTTGCATTTCCCGGACAGGATCTGTCAGGCGGTCAGTTGATCCGAGGCTGGGATTTGCGCGTGTGCACCGCCTGGGGAACCGATCTTCCTGGACATGGGGAGGTGGTGGACGTGGACATGCTTTGGCCCCCCGAGTCCATGTGAACTGCCTCATGGGGTCCTGGAATGTCGATCAGGACTGCGGAGCACATTGCGAACCACGTTGATGAAGGCGATCAGCTGTAGCATTATGTAGCATTCACTAGATACTTTGCATGTGCTACCTGGTGCCTTGGTGTCCCATCTTTCTTCTATTCTCACCAATGCGCTTCGGCGTGTGGCTCTGTGTGGCGTAGCTCGCAGCACCAAGGTCGGGCAAGCGGTGTGGCCGGTTAGGGTGTGGCCTGGATTCTGGATTCTGTGGCAGGCCCTCCCACCGTCAAACATCTCACAGGGGAGTCACTCAAGGCCAATGGGCACGCCACTATTGTTTGTGACTGTCACGAGGGGGAGGGGATTCTCCTTGTATGTTTACAGTGTAATTATTGCACCAGTGGAGGGAAGGTTAGGAACCTCAAAGTGAGGTGTCCTGCACCGCCGCGTGATGGTGAACCTCGTGACCATGGCAGGCGAATTGCCTGGTCACGAGTTCTGGCTGGTAAGCACCCGAAGACTGGCGTACCCCTCGACGCGGGGAGCTGGCTGGACATTCGGTGAGCTTTTTCGTTTCAGACCTGCTTCGACCTACTTAGCAGCATCGTAATGGCAGGTGGCGTTTTCTCGCCACTTCCCCGCGTAGTGCAAGCTGCTCGGCAGAGAGGATGGCCTGGGGTTGGTGTGGGTTGGCGTGGTCGAGTGCAACATCCTCCTCTTCCTCCTCCTCCTCCTCCTCCTCCGCCTTTTCCTCCTCCTGCTTTTCCTTCTCCTCTGGATTCCCGAGGTCTGGGCACCGTCGGCACAGAAAGGCTCCTCCTGAGAGCGCACGGCCAGATCCACAGACCAACCCCGCCTGCGATGTCGTATCGCATCGCGCCGTTACGGGACTCAAACCGTTTGCCCGCCTCGAGATTCGAAGGTTTTCGCATGTTTTCGTAGGATGTCGGACGTTGCCGTAGGTTTTCGATGACCACGACGACGACGACCACGATCACCACGAGAGTCGTTTCCTTCGGCCCGCGGAAGTTTCTGGACGTGTTCGTCCGTTCCTGGAGGTTTCCTCGCCTCGGGATGCCTTCCGGCAGCTGAGCCTCGCCGAGAGCGCTCCGGGGGGTGCCAGAGTCGTTTCGAACGGCCGCTGGAGGGGGCGATGGGCTCAGGGGGGGGTGCATCGACCCCCAGTCGCTCGTTCATCGCCGACGAGGGCCGGATAGCAAACACCGCCCAGGAGCCTGCGGTTTCGCTATCCAGGGGCCTTTCGCCGATCTATCGGCGGTGCATCACCGATTTCAGGTCAATTTTCGGCGGCGAGCCCAGGGGGGAGTGAGAAGGGGCGTGCCTTCTCAGAAGGCTGGGAAGTCCCCCGGCCTTCTGAGAAGTTTTGTAAGCCTTCGTCGTCGTCGCCGCCGCCGTCGTCGTCGCCGTCGCCGTCGCCGTCGCCGTCGCCGCCGTCGAGGTCGTGATTTTTTCGCAACGTGGCTCCCCAGAGGTCTGGACCATTTCTGTCCGCATCCCGAGTCGGTTTTTGACGGCGCTAGGGCCCAGCGAGGGCCCCCTGCGGCCGAGAATGGACAACAGCCCTCTGCTGCAGTTTTTTTCATTGCTTTGAGCGGATGTCAGGGGCCCCCGCTTGTCGCCGCCTACGGCGTCGCCGCCGGGAGGAGGATCGGGATGAGGATCGGGAGGAGCATCGGGGCACCCCCGGAACGCTCTCGACGAGGCGCAGCTGCCGGAAAGCGTCCCGGGGCGAGAGAGCCTCCCAGAACGGACGAACACGTCCGCAAACTCCCGCGGGCCGCGGGAAACGACCGTCGTGGTGGTCGTCGTGGTGGTGGCGGTGGTGGTGGTCGTCGTCGTCGTCGTCGTCGCCGCCGCCGCCGCCGCCGCCGCTGCCGCCGGTGCCGGTGCCGCCGCCGCTGCCGCCGCTGCCGCCGCCGCGCGGTCCGCCTCGCGCCGCCCGAGGAGCGGGAGCGCCTGGACAGGCGGCCGCCCTGCGTCCGCTCCGTCGGCACATCGCTCGGCGCTGGCCTCCGCTCGTGGCCTTGGCATCGCTCGGACGTGTGCATTTTTTCCTCGGCGAGGGCCATCCAGGACCATCCTGGACCATCGAGCAAAACAAACACGCACGCAACCGAAAAAGTGCACGGGAAATGGACGTCCGAGCGATGGCAGGTGCTCGCGTCATGAGAAAAAGTCCCGGCGGGAAGGTTTGGGCCGTTGTCGGCCTCCAGGGAAGCGGGAGGAAACATTTGCGTTGGGGAGAGGGCCGTCGGCCTCGTTGTTTTGCTCGCTATTTTCTTCAGTTGTCCGCCATCGGCTTCTGCTCGTTGTTCGTCGCCGTGCATCGTTCCTTGAGATCATTTTTTTGTTGTTGTTGTTTTGCTGCGACGGGCAGTATTGTCGTGTCTCGGGCTCTGGGGCCCTCACGGATCGCTCGAAAAGTGCCGCAGAAAGAACGGATCCAGTTCCAGTTGAGTTTTTTGTACGATGTTTTTTTGTTATGTCATCGTTTCTGTTCGGCATCGGCCTCCGTTCGTCGCTCGTCGTCGTTCGTCGCCCGTCGGCCGTCAGGTTCGCCGCTCGTCGTCGTTCGTCGGTCGTCGGCCGTCACAGTACGCTGACTT